TCATTCAACATGGCTACACTTATTCAGTGTGAGACTCAAGTGTAGGACAAGATAGTTTGTTCCTTCACGGGAAAAACAAGATGAAGCAATAAATGAATCTCTATGTGTTTCAAGTATTAGGAGCTTTATACATATCATATTCAATCCTAACAATAAACTTCTGAATAGGTACCAATTTTAAAGATGAGAAAACTGGGCTCAAGGAAATTAAGTTATTAAATTTCACAGACAATACGTTTTAAAGGCTGGATTCCAACCTAAGAAGTCTTGTTCTAGAGCTTCTGCACTTAACCACCACCCTATCCTGCTCAGTTGTACATCCTCTGATATAGTGAGCTGTTTATAAAGAAGTGCTTGGTTGGCAACTTGGTTTTAACAGAAGAAGGGGTCTTTCACAGTGAATGAAAAATAGGCATTCCAAAAAGTCCAGAGATAGATCAAATGTAAAATGAAAAGGCAAAAATGTTTAAGGTATAAGGAAAACTTTGCATCAAAGTAATTAGACAGCCTTTCTACATTTTCAGTTTGTATGTGGCAAGAAATTACAATTAATAATTTGCGCAGGCAAATCATTTGATTATTCATGCCATTTCCAAATCTGGTGAAACTGTCCATAGTAAAAGCAATTACTTCAATTTCACAGATCAGTAGCTTGATGTTAAAAGACAATTGTTTGTAACGTGTGTATTATTTTTAAATTTGGATGAGTGGGAAGAAAAATGGGTAAGTATTACATTCTTTGGGCAGAAATAAAAACATCAAACATAAAAAAATCAGAACTCATTAAAGATTTCTTTTGTTCCAGAAATTGAACTAGCAATAAACTGGTCTAGGTAAAGAGGAAATAGTTCTTGTGCATTACCGCATGCACTAAGATGACTCACACACTAAATCTGGAAAAATGAAGATCATCATATGAAAGTCATGGCCCTCATTTAAAAATCTTTATTCCTCATGTCCAAATGAATTTTTTTTTAAAGATTTATTTATTTATTTATTTTTAGGGAGGGAAGATAGGGAGGGAGAGAGAGAGAGAGAAACATCAATGTGCGGTTGCTGGGGGTTATGGCCTGCAACCCAGGAATGTACTCTGCCTGGGAATCGAACCTGGGACACTTTGGTTCCCAGCCCGCACTCAATCCACTGAGCTACACCAGCCAGGGAAAATGAATTTTAACATAAACAATATCTGACTATTTCAATTATAATAATCTATAGGAAACTCAGTTATTCATATCATATGAAATGTAAAATAGCTAACTTATATAATAGCAGGTAAATAATGTTCATGGGAACACACTTCATGATAATTAAAAATTACAAAAAATGCTATGTGTTCATCAATAGAAGTATAGATAAGTAAAATTAAAATATGGTGTAGTCATAGACTGAACTGTTTTACAGTAACTAAAACATTTAGCTACAGGTGTATGTCTCAGCATGGATAGATCTTAAAGTATGAAATTTTATGAAGTTAGAGAAAGGTTCACACAGTAACATATCACATGGATTAAAACATGTAAAATAAAATTGTATTTTTATGTATATATATATGAGAAAATTAATGTATAAAACACCAGACTTTGGCCCTTGCTGGTGTAGCTCAGTGGATTGAATGCAGGCCTACAAAACCAAAGAGATGCTGGTTCAATTCCCAGTCAGGGCATATGCCTGGGTTTCAGGACAGGTCCCAAGTTGGGTACGTGTGAGAGGCAACCACACATTGATGTTTCTCTCCTCTTCTCCCTCCCTCCACCCTCTCTAAAACTAAATAAATAAAATCTTTTAAAAAATAAAAAATAAAACACCAGACTTTGAAACACACCAATTCATTAGGGTATTTTTCACAATGAAAGGGAGGAAAGTTCTGAAGGACATGTATAATTTATTTTAGTAAGTAATAACTGAAGTAAATATAATGAAGTATTAAACCAGTGTTGAGATTAAGGGTATTATTTCTTATAATTTTTAGCACTTAAAGTATTTATAAAGTTTTTTAAAAATCAGCTACTTAAATATATTAAGCAAGATGTATTTGGAATAAATTATTCATGAAATTATTTAAATTTATCATAATATCCAAATAATTCACTCTCTCAAAATGTATGATAATCATACAGTCTTACTAATGTATGATAATCATATAGTCTTACTAACAATAAATTCAGTATACTCTGAAGTTTTCAAGATGACCAGACAATATTGGACATTCTACAGGGTTTAATTCAGGTGAAAAAATTCAAAAATTTTGAGCTCTTATGAGCTTAAAACTTAGTTTTATTTCACAAATTCTGACTTACTCTAAGAAAGTGCAATTTTGTCTCCTATTAGAGCACATCCTTCAGATGTCAATCCTGGCTTTCACTGTGAACGTCCTAATGTACACTCTACACCTGCGGGATCATAGATCACCTGTGCAGTGACGAATGTAACAATTATACAGCTGAACTGTATAGATTGGGGTGGATGATACAAATAGAAAGTACTTAATCAGAAAAAGATTCAGAATCTGAAAACCCAGATACACCAAAATCATATACCTATATTTAATTTGCTAGAAACTTAACCAGGAGCCAAGGTGTTTTTCATGGCATCCCAGATTGAATGGTTAAGAGTCACTGGTCCAACCATTCTTCTCTAGCATGGGAAGACAAGTTAAAAGCAAATGATTGGGACTCTAGGGTCTCATAAATCAGCTGTGCTTCTATCAAAAACTGAAGGATAAGATTACCTGCTCCCAATTACTAATTTGCTACTCCTTCCCCCTCCTAATCTGTTCTTTCTACAACTTTAGTGATCTTTTTAAAGTGCAAATCTGGTCAAGTCACTCCTCTGCTTAAAACTCTTCAATGTCATTGGTTTCTCTTAGTGTTAGGTTGAAACCCCTTAACTTGACTAACCAGCATTGGCTGGTCTGACTTCAGTTTATCTCTTCATCCTCATTTTAATCCATTCCTTCTCCTGCTTTAGTACTCTAATGAGGGTCTCTTGATCTCAGAATTAGTCTATTTAATTAATTGTTTGCTTTGATACATCTAGCATTTAGTCTATGGTCTCCTTCAGGAGGCCAGAGACCATATTTCATATTGATGAGGTTCAGAGTTATAACATTAGTGCATATCACAGTGCTTGGAATATAGTAGGTACTCAACAAGTATTTGTTAAAAGAAGAAAATGAGGGAGAAACACAGAGAAATAGAAAAGAAAAGGGTTATTTGAGAATAGACTAAATGTGCAAATATGTTTATAAAACATCAGTAGGAATTAGACGACTTGGTGTCAATCAGAGAAACTGTCCCTACACAGCAGCTCAGTGTGTCTATCTTTGCTCCATTTTTGTTTTTTTGGGGGGGAGGGGGAGAGCAGACAAAACAGAACAAAATGCTCTAACACTTGCAGTGCTTGAAATGATTCAATTCTTCAGGCCTATTGATTAAAAATAATCACAAACTCAATTAATGTGAAAAAGATTATGAAAACTCAGAGACAGCACCCAACGCACAAACCCTGGTGTGGCTGTGGGGTTTCCTTTGATGGTCTCCTGTAAACAAAGTCAGCTAAAGCTGTGATGGCGAAGCTCAGGGTGTGAACTCCTAATACAGTTATTTATTCTTTACACAATACTTTTAAAAATTGAGTTTCCATAGCAGATGTAAATATACACTGTGTTGCACAGACATGAAACATAAGTACGAGTACTGTGACAGGAAACATCATAACTGTGGTAAGAGGATACAGATGAGGTAGTTGGTCTTCAGAAACTTTTCCTGAATTCATGGTCTAGCACAGTGTCAGAATCACCAAGATAGAGAGCCTTCTAAAATTCAACTTAATATAGAAATTGTTGTCTGATCATCTATAATATGGCCCAAATTGTGTAAGAAAATTGGAAGAAACTTTTAAAAGGCAAACCCTATAAAAAGACCCTAAAAATGACAGGTAGTTCACAAGCAACTTTCTCTTATTTTATATTTGTAATTTCAATCTCCTTGCTCATCTGCTCCTCAGGATTCTAGAAATCCAGATGGTCTGGAAAACATCATCTAAAAAATTTTAACTTCCCTCTATATAATTGTGCTACCAAAAACTTCAAAGTATCAGCATATCATTTATTCTTACAATGAAATTTTGTTACCTTTATATTCAGATTTTCTGCTTAAGGGTGTTTTTGTAGCCATGTTAATAAAAATGTCAGTAATCTCTATTTTTACATTATGATTTTACAGTAATTTCTAAGTCATCTGAATGATGCACTAATTGAAGAGCTTGCACACAATACCTAGCAGAAAGCCAAAGTGTAATGGGGGGAGACAGTCATACTGTTTTGTTATTCTAGAGAAGTCCATCTTGTTATTGCATTTACTCATTAATTCAGTAAATATTTATAGAAGGCTTATGATGTGCTAAATATTGTTGTAGGTTCTGGGTATAGAATGATTAGCCAAGAAGATGTGGTCGCATCTACCAGGCGCAAAATAAGGGTGAATTCAGCTGTCAAAAATGTGTGGAGTTGTTAGGTAAGAACTTTATAATAAATAGGGTTGAAGTTTTACTCTGTACCCAGTGTATATTTCATTTGAGAGAGTCCTTATTTATATTCATTATTCAAAAGAAAAAAAGAAGACCAATAACCTTCTCTATCTTATTCTTTTGATTTTCATAAATATTGAGGAACATTTTGAAAATACTAGGATTTCTAGTGCAGTGTGGACCCTTTAATTTGCTCCTCTACATTTTAAACAGATATACCTCAGAAGCACAGAGACTGCAGGAAATGACCAACCTGTATTTACCTCTCAGTCAAGTCATGTTTGCCCTGAACTCTCTCAGGGTGCAAATACAACTATTGTGTCACAATTGCTACTTTTCAGACTGGGCAGATCTACTCACATTGTCTTAGATAACAGCAGAACAAAGAAAAAGAACAGGGGCTTACAAATGACAGGATATCAACTCAAGGCAGTGCCAAAGACAAGGGGAGGAGATCAGAGAATACTTACTGGTAAGTGGTTGGGCTGACATTGATGCGACGAGGGTGACTTCCTGATTCAAATTTGCTTGCCAGAGTGACATTATTTCCAAACAGGCAATATCGGGGCATTCTTACCCCAACAACTCCAGCCAGCACGGAGCCTGAGTGAATGCCTATCCTCATCTAAAATTAAAAAAGAAAAAAATATATGTTTTCATTGGGTGTGCAATTATTTTAATGGGAAGTACTGCTAATTATAAAAACCATTCAACTATGAACTCCTCAAAGATCTTGGTCATTTTTGTTGGCCCACTAGCTGCATGAACATGTATGTTGTGGAATAAATAAATAAATACATTTATTATAGGAAAAAACTACATTTAATTTGCTACATAAAACTAATTATGTTACAAGTTAAATCAGGTTTCATTTGTTTCATACATGATAGGCTCTAAACATAGAAAACATATTATTCTTCTTCTAGTTATATTCTTACACAAAACCCAATTTTCCTTCATATCATTAAATACAATTCTCAATTAAATATTTATCTATTTGTTTATTTTATTTTGGCATTGGATTTCTCCCATGAGAGAAGGATCCATACCTATTTCATTACTGCTGAATATTCAACACGAGCCCTGTACCGAGGGTAAAGTAGGCACTTAGTAGTAAGTGATGAGTGCTGAATAAATTGCCTAAATTCCCCAACACAGAATTGAAATGAAGTTACAAAGAATTCAACCCTTGACTCCGTCAAAAAGAGTTGATTGAACACCTGAAGAGTAAATAAGTGCTGTATATTTTACTCTCTGAGAATCTGATAAATATCTGTGTGGTCCATGCCTTGAAGGGGCTCTCAATGTGCAGTTATTATACACTTAAATGAGATTATAGTAATGAAATTGTATCCAATGAACTATACCAAAATAACCAAAGCTAATGGTGACTACCTGGAAGATGCTGTCCTTTTTCCTAGGAGAATGTGAGTGACTCTGGGAGAACGGGAGGACCCTAACCCTAACCCCTAGATGCCCACTAGGCAGGCAGTGTCAGTGCTTCGCTCCCGTGTGCTACTGCTGTGACAGCTGTGAGGAAGACAGCTTAGACTAACTGCCATCATCAGACTGGAGCCTTCTGCGTGTATCCACCAATAGTAAGACAGGTTGAAACCAATATGATCCAGCTGATGTCCTAATAACCTCTTCATCTACTCCTTAAAAACTCATTCTAAAATTCATTTAAAAATTGAATATGCTAGGAAGAGCTGAGGTGCATTTGAGAAAGAAGAAAAACTTGAAATATTTGCCCTATAAGATATCAAGTCTTTGTATAAACATATCTAGTTAGTACACAGATATCATGATATCGATGCATAGAGACATAAACTAATAAAACAAATAGCCCAGAAAGACTTTCATGCATACATAGGTGATTGACAAATGACAGGGTTGGCATTTCAGATTAGTGAGAAAAAGATGGCATTTCCATTAGGATATTCTGGATCATCTGTGTCTTCATGTGGAAAAAAAAAATCCAAGTACATTAAAGATCTTCATGTAGAAGGCACAATTTTACAGCTTTAAAATTAATTGTTTTAAATAAGTTAAAGGTCAATATGCATTATCAGTTAAACCCTAAAATACAGACACCTAAAACTGTAGACTTTTATTAGCCTCTTAGTTCCCAGGTGAGTGGCACAGATTATTAGGCAGCTAGCTCTGCTCCCCATGGCCAGTCAGGGACCAAGTTCTTATCATTGTGTTCCTCTTCATGTCTTGTCATGTGTATTTTTCTTGTTTAAAGAAAATGTGAAGCTGGGTCTGGAACATCCTCATGTTCCAGCTCAGGAAGTGGTGAGACAGGCAGCAGAAGTCCAGGGTATGGTACTGAAGACACCATTTGAGGTGATCTTTAGTCTTTTGTTTAGACCCATATTTACACCTGGTATCATTTTCCTTCTGCCTAAAAAAAGTTCCTTAATTTTTTTAAATTGTAGGTCTACTGGTGATGACTGGTGATTCTTTCAGTTTTATATGTTTGTAAAAAGTCTTTATTTTGCCTTCATCTCTGAAATATTTTTACTGGTTGTTGAATTCTAGGTTGATATTACATTGTGTCCTAAGCACGATTAAAGTAGGCTAGGCTAAGGATGATGTTTGGTAGGTTGGGTGTATTCAATGGATTTTCAACTCACAATATGTTTAACTTACAAAACATTTGTTGGGACATAATCCCATTGTGAGTCTAAGAGCATCTTTACATCTTTTTCTTCCGGCTGCTTTAAATTTTTCTATTTTTCTCTAGTTTTGAAAATTCAATCATGATTTCTTTTGATGATGTTTCCTTCATGTTTTGTGTTTGGAGTTTGTTCATTTTTTTTTAGATCTGTAGGTCATATAGTTTTCATCATATTTGGAAAAATTCAGACAATTTTTTTTCAAATATATTTTCTATCCACCCTCCCTCTTGGAGACACTAATTACATATTTATTAGGATGCAAGGAGTATTTCCAGTTTACTGATGATCTGTTCATTTAAAATATTTTTTCTCTCTGTTTATTTTGGATCATTTCTGCTACAATGTCTTCAAATTTACTAATCTTTTCTTCTGTAATGTATAATCTTTTGTTAATCATATCTGATATATTTTTCATCTCAGACATTGTAATTTTCTTCTCTAGAAGTTTAGTTTGGGATTTCTTTTCATCTTTCAGGTATTAAATTAACTTTCTAACATATGAAACAGTTTACATAATTTGTTAAATGTTCTCATCTGCTAATTCTAATATCTGTTTTAGTTATGTATCAGTTTGATTGACTGGGTAGATTTTCTCATCATTACGGGTCATATTTTTCAGCTCTTCTGCATGCCTTACAATTTTTGGTTGGATGTTAGATAGCATGAATTTGACTTTGTTGAGTGTTGAATATTTTTATACTCATAAATATTCTTGAGCTTTGTGGTTGAGATGCAATCAAGTTACTTAAAAACAATTTGTTCTTTTCAAGTCTTGCTTTTTAAGATTTGTTAAAGAAGTCTTGAGCAATGTTTCATGTAGGGCTAAATATTCCATACCACTGAGGCAAGGACCCTCTGAGTACTACACCTAATGCCCATGATTTATGAGGCTTTCCAGTCTTTCAGATGGGAAAAGGCATTTTTTTCTAAGTCCTGTGTGAATGCCAGGGGCTTTTTCTTCTAATCACTTCAGGTTTTTACCCCCTACTGGGCTCAGGTAGTTTTCTTACATGCAAAAATAGTCAGTACTTGCAGAGCATACAGGCAGTCTCTGAGAAGCTGTCTGGTAGTGTTCGTGCAACAGTCTCCTCACTGGTAACCGCCTGTGACCTCTGGCCTCCTTACTCTCCCCAGACTCTCAGCTCCATCTCTTCACCTCAGGACGACTGTTGAATGCTTCTTCGTTTTCTCCTCCCTGCACCACAGCCCAGATATCTCCCAAGGCAATATGCCAGGGAAATCACGTGTCTCATTTTATTTGTTTCCCGTCTCTGTCTCCCATGCCCAGTGTCCAATGTCATGAAAACTGGTGGGGGTGGTAGGCAGAGAGTTTGTATGTTTTGTCCAGATTTTTGTTTAAGTTGGGAGTGTAAATCCAGTTCATTACTCTTTATTGGCTGGAAGCAGATGTGAGATAGACTTTTTTAAAAAAGAAAGCAAGATATCTGAAAAAAAAAATAGGTTTATTTCTGGTGAGAGATTGTCTATTTGGATTTAAAGATAAACAAAATTTTGAGTGGTAATATCATTTTAAACAAGATAAGTGTAAAGCACTTTTCTCTAAAATTAGCATTTTCCAATATTATCATATTTTGGGGGTTTTCTGTTTCCCTTCAGAAGGCCTATTTTTATTAAATTACCTTGTGCAATACAGGCTTGGCTAAAAAATGCCAGACCGTGGATCTAAGATTGTCAGCCTGAGCCTATAATCACTATAGTGACATTTTTTTTAAAGCAGAAAAAGAGCATAAGTAAGTATCATGTTTATAAATTTTACAGCTTCTTTGTTCTGTGGTTTTGTTTGTTTGGCATTGTAAGTTATACAAATGAGTGAAAGACTTTATTCTCTTCTGTCAAGTAACTTGAAATTTTATGAAGATGAAAGTATTATTTCTTAAGAAAACAATATACATGTGGTCAACAAATATCACTTACAAAATTTTAGATATTGAAATCATTATTTTGCAATTTTACAAAAACTAAAACTAAAACATGCAAATATACCATTTTCCAATTAGAGACTATTAATAAAAACAAATTTCTTCTATGAGAAAAAGGTATATATTATAATGATGTCCATGCTTAATGTTGATAATTGAATTTCTTCAGTGAAAATTTAGTTCATTTAATGTCTAAGAAGTTCTATCTCTCAGACTAAAGGCAATGCATTTGCCATATATTTAAGCAAAAAAGAAATTAAAAATGAGTTTGGTTATTAAACATTAATAATTATTATCCTTTTTTATAAGCTATAACTTTTTTATTAATATCATAAAAACAAATAGTATATACAAGTTTACCTTTGAGAATAAAAGTACAATAACAACAAACTTCTGAGTTACAATGTAAAACTCTTGACTACACCATTAGAATCAACTTGGGGAGTTTCAAAATTGCAGTTTCGGATCTCACTCACAGAGATTCTAATTTAATGCATCTGGAATGAGGCTTGGGAATTGGGACTTTTAACCTTCTCTAGGGTTTCTAACATGCACCCAAAGTTCAAGAACCAACTACAAGTAGAACATTAAGTTTCACAGATATATTTACAAATTATCAATACTGCAAGAGCCAGTTGGTTTACATAGCACTACTCCTTCCCAACAGTTTTAGCCAACCAGCATTGTGTAAATTCCTTCACATACATAAACATATACATACTACCATTCAGTTTTGAGAAAGAAACAATATTCTATCCTGTTCCCAGGAGACACAATATCCCTGTTTAGCTCTTGAAGACACTGTTATTATTATTAAAAGCAGTAATTTATTTTAAAATCAATAGTTTTATAAGATATATGGCATATTAGCTGAAATTTCAAAATATGTTTTCACATATTTCTCACTGATTTACATGCTGGGCTTTAGTCTCTTTAAAACTGCTACCATTAACTATGCTTTTTGGATGCTTTTCAAAGCAACAAAAATATATGTTTAATTA